GTTTACGAAAAACAAGGAATATTTGTAGAGAAATCTAAAAACAGCCAAGATGGTGTGACAATGGTGAAGGGGTTGTGGTAAGGGCCGTATTTGTGGGTGCTAGGTTGCATAGAGACAGACCCTTGAAAGAGGTGAGTGGCCCTAAATATTTATTGAAAAAGATCGATTTCGAGAGTTGACCCTACTCCCGACATCCTTCCTTCGTTTGTAGAGGACCACCGAAACCGGGAAGCTAAACAAAGATATTGCGGAAGACGGAATGCGGGGTCTTTTCCGCTCTCTACGTGAACCCTTCACCTCGTTCTTCTGCACAGATACATCCGATCGCTCATCAACATTACTATTAATAAGCAGAGCGAACACATTGCGTGCTGTCGCCTTGTCCCATATTGTGTGATATCCCCTCAATATGGCGGTGGGACAATAGATGGCAAGGTCGTCTGCTCACGAGCGTCAAAGGTCCCTCTGCCCATAAGAAGCTATACTTAGTGCGGGCATCCTTCGTGCACACAATTATTACTGGTTGTGCGTGCGATTCAGCCACTTAGTACTAGCTCCTTTAGCGACGAAATTAATCGCCCAATCGAAAATCGAACGGCGCGATTCATGGAAAACGGATGATGGCGGTGGCGCGAGCGGGGTAACTGTCATCGCCCACACGAGGGATAAATCTCATTGAGACAGACAGGACAGACCATCTCCTCCTGCATACCCATAGATCGTTATCGACTCCGCCATGACACGATTAGGTAACAGGGCGTCGTTCAGGGATTTCTCACTCACCTGGTGCTATCGTATAGACAGTGGTGTCCTCTATTTCTTCGACTGGCACACCCGATCCGGAACCGCCAATGCCGCTGATAAAATCTTCGTCGTCCGTATCGTCATATGGATGCCCGGAAGACTCGAGCCACGCCTCCTGAAAATACGGCCATGATACGGTATCGGAGGATATTTATGGCAGTGAATGACATGGAGTATCACTATTATAAATATATTTGGGGGGGGGGAGGATAAACGAAATAATTGCACTTTCAACCTGTTTTATCGGATTAACTGCTGTTTTACGCCGCAGTTCGCGTTGCGAAAGTTATCACAAGAATGCTGAGTTGTGGGCAAAACTTTCGCCCCAGCCGGGATTCGTACCCGGATCTCTTGCTTTCCGGGCAATTGTGCCACCACCGGAGCACCATTTCACCCAAACCCTGCTCCGAAAGCTATCAAGGTCCCCTTCATAACAGCCTTCAACACCGACGGCATCTAAAGATTTTCCCACTAGAACACGTGCACAGGTCGAATTCTGTGGGATCCTCAAAGAAACGTGGACCATTACGGCATTTCCTCAAATTTTGGATGGGAGATGGGTTGCAGAAATTAGGAAAAAAAGAAAAAAAATGCCTCAGGAAATATCTATACCCATCGGTAGCCGATTAAATAATTATTTGGCAGCGCCAGGCTGGAGCGGTTACGGTAGGCCTGTTGAGCTCAGCAATGATGGCAAATGACGTCATGATAGGGGAACGGTAAGGGCAGTGAAGGAAGGCCTGGTTCCGCTTGTGGGGTTAGGGGGTATTTTGCTCCCATCAACAGCGGGACCCTGCGCGACCAAAAATTTGGTGTTTGCGCCATGAGCGAAATGACTTTTTTGGGTTTCCCTGTATTTACTCATGCATT